CTTTGTCCACCAATGGTTACAGCTAAATAATTTATGGTGATTTGTAGTGGTTAACCAGTATAAAGTAGTGCTGTAATTTGTTTTGGAGAAGTAATGTTTCTTAAACGTACTTACAAACGACTGTTAAGAATGGACCCCTACAGTTTTTCCCCAACTATCTAAATCCAAGTTTTTTTTATTTAAACCCACTTGATCTGTGAAGCCCTTAGAGGTTTGTTTCAGGACTCGTTTTACAAACAACATCATAAGTATCAAAGAAAACACCAGACAAGTCAGCGGTAAGGTTTTAGAGAAGTGCCACAGTTTATCATTTTGTAAAGGGACTAATTCAATTTAATTGGAATTTTTTTTTTTTGAGATTTGAAAGAGTGTGAGACAAATACATTAGAGAATAAGAGGTTTCTGAATCTAAACCAAACTTTACAAGTTAAATAAAGGTTAAATAAAAATGAAACTGAGTAGCTAAGCACTTAAAGAAAGACATAGTCATGTTCGCAAGCTGCCACAATGCAAGTAGGAAACACAGCAAGCATGTGTGAGAACGTACCCTGCTCAGATTAGACCAAAACTGAACTATCTATCACCATCATCCAAAACACCAAATCACCCTGAACACACTTTACCCACCATGAGATATGAAAATGGCTGCATTATCAACAGTAAGCTTGTCTTTAACAGGAACAAGAAAACCAGTTAGCTATAATTAACAGTTGGTTGAAAACCAGCTAGAAGAGATGCGGGACGAAGGCAAACCTTAACCTGATTACCCTAAACATACAGGCAGAGCCTCAATGGCAGAGAGTAGATCGACGCATATTCCTTTTTACAATGAGGCGGCCAACTCTAAGTCCAGGCCTGAATCCTCTTGACAATCTGTGGCAGAAAACCGATGTGTACAGATGGACTCCATCTAATGTCACTGAATGTGAGCTATTTTGAAAACACAATTGCAGTCGAGATGTGCAAAGCTGGTAGAGATAACCCCCGGAAGACTTGCATCTTTACAGTAAGAGTCGTAAAAGATGTTTCTAGTGTTGACTCAGTGGCGCTGAATGTGAATGTGTGCTTTGTTAAAACTGAAGGAACATGGATACTTTTATTTGGCATTATATGTGTCACTATGGAGTACAAAGACTAAAAATAGCACAATGTAAATAATGATAAATGATACCTATTTTATTAGAAGAACAACCAAGGAGAGTATGCTCTACCATCATAGGAGAGTTTCGTTGGTATTTCAATCCCTGTTGAATATGTCGAAACAGATATCATTTCATATTCATCACACCTACTGGGAAAAAAATGCAAATGTTTCATACAAATAATCACAGGTTTCTGGCAGTTTATCATAAAATGAAAACAGCAGCTTTCCAACAACAAATCCATGTTAGAAAACACAGAGAAAACATTTAGCAGCTTCTCAAAAAGGTGTTTGTGCTTCCAGGAAGAGTGGGCATGAAAGAAGAAAACCTGGCCTCTTTCTCTCTGTCTTTCCTCCATGTGTTACAGAGATAGAGGGATAGAGGCTAAGAGCAGTGTGTCATCTCATTCACAGCTTTGATCCTCCTGGGCCATAATTCCATATCTTGAGTTGCTGTGCAATGTTTGCTCAGACCTCATCACTTCTCTAGTTTGTGATCCACCAAAGACTTACAAATAATCACTTTGTTTCAGGATTCTGTTTGCATCAGCAGGTCTTGCAAATGTTTCTATTAAAGGAGCTTGCTGCCAAATGGCATTGTCCTTTATAAATTAAAATTCTTGCTTGAAGATTTTCTGTATTTATGTTTCTCTTTTTCTTCAAAGCCAGAATGTAAATCTTCATATATGAACTTCTTCCAGGCATTGGTTTCCGTGCTCATTTAACTGCATGTTATTATGTAATAACAAACATCACAACTAATTAAGGGTAAATAGCAGCTTTTCTGTTTTTGCTGTAATAGCTAAGAACTGTCTCAGCTGGTTACATTTAACTGTAATTCCTGTCTGCTGTTTTTGCATCTTTGAAATCAAATGCCAGCTGTGACCTACCACTAGTCCGAAATCCTAATCAGCAACCTCCCCTTTGTATTTTGCCAGAGTTTTTTCTTGAGAGCACAGCACAACAGAGTTTAAATGACCTTAAATGAAAGGCTCCCAGGAGAGAGCTGGGCTGGCCTAAAGGGAATGAGGATTAAGAATGTGTAATTCATTCAATGAAGCTACTGTATCTCCTGCCCTCTCTGGTTACTCACTTGTACTCACACAGAAGACGAAGCTTATTCAGTGTTTAATTGTGTAAAAGGGATAAAATGTGCAGGCTGACCTTACTCAGTTTAGCTGTATCATCACAGTTTAAAAAGGAAGTCCTGATTGTTGCAATATAACATTAAAATGTTTGTTGTGTATTTCCTCAAACTCATACTTGTTAGATTTTTGCACATGTAGCTGAAGAAATGTTTGAATGCGGCTAAAACTAAAATAAACAGTAAAAAGAGATTCTTACATATGGGAAAGCTTAGTTTAATTGGCCCATCTCTGCTGCATGCACTTGCCTGTCAGTCTGATTGAACACACCTGTTCACAATCATCTCCTCCTCTGTGTATTTAGCCATTCTGCTCCCTTCTCACCATGCCAGTTTGTCAACCAGCCAGCGGTCTAGCCTTTGTTTAGCCCGTTGTTTTTGGAAACCTTTGACCTCTCTGAAAGATTCCTTGTGTTCCTACCTTTGGATTCCTATTAAACTTGTTGATTATGGAATTGGTCTAAGTGTCTTCTGAGTCTAGCCTGCCAAGTTTAAAGTTAGAACACATACAATATGTGAAACAAAAAAAAATAAACTAGTTACAACATAAAATATGTGAAACAAAAAAAACCCTACCATTCCATTAGATGAAGCTGATCCCAGTTTGCACAAAAATGTGTTCTTTTTTCTCTCTGAGTCTTTCTTTGTTAGTTCATAAGACACTGCCAAGTGCTTTGCAAGACTGGCATCAGAAATACCGGTAGATGAGTCTACTAAGAGTAAACATGCTGGTATGTCATGATGTTTGACTCAGTAAATGCCATAAAAAGCTGACGTTATCCAGTGAAAAGTGTCATCAAATGAACGTGAACTTGAGCTGTGTGTGTCGCTAATTAATATTGTGAACGTTCAGTTCATTAAAAATATGAACGTATTCAGTGAACATTGTTCATGCACAACACTGATGATCTCACATGGAAATAATATACACATTTCCGACATTTTATAGGCTTACATGTTTGAAGTTACACATATCACAGCCATCATAATAAAACGTAAGACTTGTATAGGTTCCAAACTAAAGCATTAATACCACACATAAAAACGAAAGAAATTTGAATTCATGATATCATTTTAATGGATTGGACACTGCGTCTATTTAGACTGATAGGATACATCACATCAGCACTAGTGTCATATCAAAATTAGGGTGAGCACATTTTGATTTCTAAAAAAAAAAGAGGACACTTGACTCTGCCTTGATATATATACCTAAATGATGTTCAAAGGTAACGAAAAGATATCCTCTAAATTAAAAAAACATAACTAAAGTCTCCTCCGTATCATTACAAAGTTAAATTAAACAAAAAGAATATAAAATAAAAAATATAGACTTCTCAGAAGTTATATAAAAGGCTTTTGTACCTACATGTATATCTGTCAAGTGTCATAGGTTTTAATAGTTCAAAATAAAAATTTGAATCTGGAATAAACTGTTTCTGTAAATGATGCTATTTCTGTATCAGAAAACCAATCTGCAGATTTAAGGAGAGTTATTTTCCCTTTGCAATTCATCTATTACTCCCAAATTCTAAATTTGACCTATTTAACGATTCACAACAGTTTGATAATTGCTTGTAAAATAATATAACCACAAACAACTTTCTTTCATAGTAACCTGCTGTTTTACTTGTATTAGTTTAAGCTCATTTCTAATGTGTACAAGCCTCCACACAGCTACTAAACTTCATTCAGAGTATCTGCTGTCTTTTATTCACTTGGACAATTCACCTTTCACCGCAGCAACTTTTTTCTCATCCCTCTTTCATTTCCTATTTTGAGTTTCTGAGAGCTTCCTTTTCTGTGAGTCCATCTTTAGCACCAATGCTCCTCCATGTAAATACTCCCTGCTGCCCAAACAGTCACATTCACTTGAGGGAGGTTGTTGTGTGGGTAGAGGGGCGCGGGTAATCTGTATTGACAGTGACTTACACATGCACAAAAGCTGTTATATACAAAAATTGCAAACTTTAAACTTTTTTTACTCCCTATAGCAGTGCCTCAATGTGCCACTGCACAACCTTCTTTGCTACACAAATTTTTTTTTATTTTAAATACAATAATATTGGATTGCACCATCTTCCCATATTAGCAATAAGGGAAGATGGTGAGAAAGAGGGGTAAGTTACAATAGTTTCTTGGCCAAAAAAGGAGACTTGGCAGATATGTGCTAAAAGTTTCCAATGACCTTATGGTTCTACTTCTTTACAGTAAAATAAATTAAATGGAGCATTTAAAGTTTGTCCTAACCCAGTATAAAAGCATGATTCTGACCCAAAATTATTTATGAAATCCTTCGCCAAAGTAGGCTGTGCAAAGCAACGCTGAGGGGCGTGAGCAAATGTAGATATGAGCGAAGGAGGTAAGGAAGATTTCGAGGTTCTGATGTAAATCTAATGCATCATTATATCCTGGACATTAAGTCATAATGTGTAAATTACTTTAAACATTATAAATGTATTGGCAATACTTGTTTTTCCTTTTTCTGTTGCACTTTAAAGTGTCTCACTTTTTCTGTGTTTTGTGACTATGGATAAGCTTCTCAGACTAGAACGCTACAAACTACTTTTTTTGAACTGAGGAAGGATACAGTTAACTCAACAATGGTTTAAAGAAATCCTCCACATCTATCTCTGCAGGTGCAGTTGCTAGGTCTATATGTCTTCTCATTAATGAGATGTGTTTTTCTTTGTCATTCTGTTTTCTTCTTTTCAGCTCTGAGAGATCACAGAATTGAGCTTGTAAGAGCCACGTCACAGGAGCTCACCATCAGAATCAATGACGTCAGCCTGTCAGACGAGGGCCAGTATACATGCTCACTCTTCACCATGCCTGTCAAGACAACTAAGGCTTTCCTCACTGTTTTAGGTGAGCGTAACAATTCTGAAGTGTGTCTACATGCCTTTAAAATGATGGTGTAATTTGGTATATACAATTTTTTTATGGCTGTGCTATAGTGCATTCATTTTGATTAATTAATTCAAGAAAGAAATTACGAATATAAACATAAATACGCCATCTGAACTAATGTGTGGATAAGTAAGTAACAAAAGTCAAATTACAAGTTATACATTTTCATTTCTTATACAAAACTGATTTTGCACCTTTTAAAATGGACCAATATTGATATTGACCTGACATGATATCAGCACTAATCATAAATACTTTTATTGATTGATTGATGGACTTGATTATTGATCTCACAGTGGAGAAATGTACTCGTTACATCAGCTCAAATAGTCAAAGAAGAAGAATGTGCCAAAGGCAGAAAAAGGTGCATGGATATATACAGTAGTATCCACAGTGCTTCTACATATGATAGCTTATTTTTAATTGCTTATTTTGTAGTGTGGAATGTTCAAAGCTGTTTGATTAAGTGATATTGATCAAACAAAGAACAATGGTCAACAATAATATGTATAAGACCAACCAATTGTTCTCATATTAACCACTAAAATTTACACAGAAGCAAAGTTTTATATCAGCATGCCCATGTCAGAGATTTTAGGTGCAGGCCAATATAATCCAATATTAGTTTTTTTTTTTTTTTTTTTTTTTTTTGTTTGTTTTTTTGGACCTATATTTATTATTATATCAACAAGGCAACATGGCTGGTGTTGCTTAGTAGAGAGGCAGTACCATCACATAATTACTTATAACATATTTACTGTTAAAAAATTTGTACCTGAATATGTTCATTTTAAAAATGTAGGCATTTATTGCAAGTGTGTGATTTATTTCAAGTTATATTTATCAGTTTATTCCTGGACTGAATGATTTTTTTTTTTTTTTTGGATTTTATTTTGTGACACTTTTATTACAAGAAGCTATTACATAGAAAGCCTTACACTCTCATCTGAATGTAAGAACAAATACTAAAAGCTGATGTCATAAAAAGAGCCTAAAAGAGCAACAGGGTAAAAAAAAAGGTCCAAAAATATGGATAGTAGCTTTGCAATGTAAGTGTCACAAAATAAAACACCATTATGAAATAAGTAAAGACATTTTTAATTAAATAAACCTTTTAATAACTACTTAAGTATGTTTTAATACAAAATTATTAAAAAAGATAAAATGATGTATTATAAAAATAAGTAACAAGCAACGTAAAAAAAAATAGGTAAATAAATACATCTTAAAATTAATAAATACATGAAATTATGATAAGCAATTTTATTTACATATTTAGTTTTTTAATTAAATGGGGACACTTGTTTACTTGTTTACCTATTTATCTATATGGTAAATGTTAAATATATTATTTATTATTATACCATTTTTATTTATAAGGTTAACAGCTTCCATTTATTACTCTAATTTTGAAGGTCTCAACAACTTTCCTTGTTGAGACCTATATTTTATAAATAAAATGGGATAAGTTACAACACTTCTTTACCCTTTATTACTTATAAGTAATTTTGCCAACTTTGTTTTGTTGTGTATTACAGAAACAAGACTGGCAGACATACAGAATCAGAATGATAGACAGGCAAATAGTTAGCCTAAGTTTAAGTGAATAAAAGCAAAAAAAACAAGTGAAATGTGATAAAGCAGTGTTTGGCCTCAATGTGTCGGCTGTTTTAATTAATAGGTATTCACAACATAGCAGCATAAATATAATAATCTGGAAATGCTGGTAATTCTTGAACATATCAGGATCAGTCTAATGAGTAAAACTGGGGTGGTATTTACAGCCTACATGCATTTATTTCTAATTAGTTGCTGTTTTTGTATCAGCAGGGGAGAGGGATTGTCATGGGTTTGTTTAGTCATGTGGCAGTTATGTTATGCACACGTTTCCAGTAACAAAGTTCCCACATTTGGGCACTGCCGCTTGCCTGATATAATACCAGCATTGGAGTGGCCGGCGACAAGCTCCACCCCTGATGCTTCTCCGTGTCAGCAAATAGAAGGAGTATCTATCTTCCACTTGCTGATTTCATGGCAGGACCTGGTTTCACTGAGCGAGTCATGATACTTTATTCATTATTTAATGCAGAACAGTGGCACAGTTTTCTGCAGCTCAGAAAGGAATACTTGCCTCTGCATTACTTTGGCACAGTAACACCCGGTACCAGTAATACCAGGTGGAATTTTGTATCTCATTTTATTTGTTTACACAGCTATAAAACAAAAAGTAATTGTGAAAAAAATAATTTTGAACATGGTTGTGAAATTCTAAAGCCCCATTTTGAAAGGCATGTTGATTAAACACCACATGGCTGTGTTTAGGCCATTTCTATAAATAGATCAACATGTGCACATGTCAGATTGGCCAGGTACCGAGGTTAACAGTCCTTCTAGGGCTAAATTAACACAGCTTTTTTAAAATCCACCCACAAACCTCTTAAAAAAATGTTGCTTCTCCATCTTTCGTCAGTGTTATTTTTGTTCTGTTTTCCTCTCTGCTGCACTCCTTCTTCCCACATCTTAAACACATGTAATTCCTGATTGACTCAGAACATAACCAGACACAAAAGTTCAGGTAATCCACCCTAAAAATTCATTTTGTATCCATCACAGGTGTCACATCACTTTAAATCACATTGTTCCAGAATAACTAGTAAATCGGTCTCTTCTACTCCTGGAAATGTGCATGTTTTGAACGCACCATTATAGTTATGCAATGCAGGATTATGTCATGTTAGCACTTATGTTGGCTTTTCAAGATGTCCAAAAAGTATAAAAATATATAATGATAATAAATATCAGTGATTGTGTAATTGCAATATTAATATCATATTTCGATATCAGCACTATTTTTTCATTGCCGCATACCCATTAAACATAGATGGTTTCAGCGCAGATTTAAAGGAGCTGATCCTTTAACAAATCTCCAGATCTCACTCAGTTTGAGAGCAAAAAAAACATCAAAACTAGATGTTTCCTCCCTTTGAATAGTTCTTACTCTAATACTACAAAGTAAAGAGCTCTTATATTAACCACTGTGTACTGTACATCATATCTGAGACGCATATCTATCTCTAACTTTTCAAATTCAAAACTGCAGCGATCAAATTTGGTATTTAAGGTCTATTTTAATGTGGTCTGTTGTCTTGGTTTCTATGGTAGCACTATTGCATGTATTGCAGCTAATTTAGATCTCTATACAATAATCTAACCTAACGGATGAGGAAAAACATACACTACTGTAGTTGCAAGCATATACTGGATATGATGCATATGGTGTTATCAGAAGGAATTATGGACAGCTAAATTAAATGACTAGCAATTAGCAAATTAGTGCTTTTACATGTTTTTAGAAAGCTAATCTTACTGGCACTAATCTCCTAGGAGTGCCAAGTCGACCAGAAATCACAGGATTTACCAAGCCAGCCATGGAGGGAGACGAAATCACCCTGACATGCACCACATCAGGCAGCAAACCTGCTGCCAACATTCGGTGGTTCCGAAATGACAAGGAGGTCCAAGGTAAGACGGTGATGTGGGTTTAACAGAGAACTATATTCTATTTTTTTTTTTCAACCAGTGCCCTCTAACAGACATATTGTCAAGTCATTCAGCTGCTGCAATTCCTTTGTGCTCATATTCATGCTCTGTTACACTGGTTTGGTCCTTGAAAGCTGACAGATGTCACTGGACTGGGCACTTATGGAAAAAAATTTAAAGTTAGTTCCAAATTTCACAAATAATTCCACAAAGCTTGTTTTTTTTTTTTTTTTTTTTGTTTAAGACATGATTTTATCTCTAAAATAAAACTGAAAAGCAAATATTTTACCACAGGTGTGCCAAAACAAAACCATTGAAAAACATCTCCTAGTGGTTATGACCCCTGCAAAGCATCACATAAAAGAAGGATTGATTTAAAAATCTCAAATAGTCAAACTGATTAAAGAGCTATAATATGTTGAAGGAAGCATGACCAACAATAAATATTTATCCACATAATTTTCTTTATAGAAATAATGTTATACCTTTGAATGGTAATGTAACAAAGTCTTTAAAATACACTAAAAATAAAGAGAGAGAGACACGTTTGAAGCTTAAACAAGTTTAAGTTAATAATTTTGGTAAAAAGAAATTACAAAAGAAAAAGTTCAAAAATATTTTGTTGAAAAAAAATCAGTGCATGATTGTGATTCTGCTGCTGTAAAGACTAAGTACTGTACTGCCCGACCAAGTCTTTTACAGTACATTCTTCTTTCCACATTTAATTATAACCTGACGATTCTGAGATAAAGGTTATCGCTCTATACACAGTCTTTATAGTAAAATAAATATTAGCTGACCTCTATCGTAGCCACTTGGTGTGGCAGGATGAGTGAATTTTCATTAGAGCAGATGAACATCTCTGTAGCATGGCAGGAAATTAGTTAATGTTGTCATTACTTCAACATTTCAGTAGCAACTGCAAGTGTTTTATTGCAATGACACAAATTAAATCTGATGTCTTAAAAATATATATTTTTTACGTGTTCTAAAATCTTTGTGGAAATATAATTTAGCCCGAAATCAAATTATATATGCTAGGGTAACAGATGGGTAGTGACACAAAACTGAAAGAGTTCCTTTTTTTTAACCTAAACTGCAAATATTTGTACACAGAAACAAAAGAAATGCAATTTTTGGGCCTAAATCAGTGTAGAAAGAAAACATCTTTCCAAACTGGAGATAAAAACGTTCAAAAAACGTTGGCTGGTGCAGAACAGAGCTCTGTAGAAACTAAGGTTTTGGTGGAAGCTCTGTGTGAGAGTCGCTCTTTATTGAAGATTTGCACCAGAGAGCTTTTTCTAGGTGGTTCTCTCTGTGTCTGCCCAACATGGCATGATGATTGATGGGAGAAGGGCTGGGATATGAAGTTTTCTGTTGGAATGACATGCACGCAGCTTCCTGAAAGACCAGTGGAGAAATGGCACACAGCAACACAAAGAGACATGCTGTCCATCTCAAGAGTTACTAAGATGTTCTCTTTAGAACTTTTAAAATGCACTTTAAATTATACCCTTTTACCCCTAAAATATACATGAATGTATAAGCACGTCTTCCTGCCTTTGCTGCACATCCGAAGGATAAAATGCTCTATACATCTGTGATTAACAAAAACAATATCTATAAAAAAAAATAATCAAACCATACATTTGCATCAGTGTTGTATACAGATGTTTTACTAGGAGGCATTGGGTTGTATGCTGCCGGGGCAAACAGGCCAGTATGCACCTCACAAAGAGTGATGCAGAACATTCCAGAGACTGGAGGTCTTGATTTAAAAATGTGTGTGTGTGTGTGTGTGTGTGTGTGTGGTGGGGGAAGGGTTGTCTATTAAGCTCCAAGACGACTTCAGGTGTAATAGCAAAAAGATGTCATATTTATTTCATGCTCTGATGATTTGTTTTTCAAAAATTTATATTAGAAGCACACAGCCTTACAAACCTCAAAGTGCAACTGTCATCTGGAGTCAAGTAATTTGTTTACAGGGTACAGAGCTATACAAATTCCTTGTGCCACTGAATGACAGCTCAGCTTCAAACTGTAATCTGCTGATTAAAAATCCACCCACCATCACTCCCTCTGCAAACGCAAAGTTTTCTTTTCTTTTATTTGTGACACAAAGACAAATTCCAATTATCTATTGAACAGTCCAGCTTCTTTTTTAAAGAAAAAGTCACCTAAGAGTGACATGTCACTATAAGGTTTGAGGTCCTTTTCCAAGGAGTATCATTTAAGTGTATTTATTTAGGTTTTACAAGGTTAATGAACTTAAAGTATTTTATATTTGTGTTGCAAAAGAAAATAAAAGTGTGACTTCAAGTCAGTTTTTATTTTTTTAATTCATAGCTTTAAGTCTTTTAAGACATACCTCTACTTATTTTTACACTATATTTTGACTATATATCCTTTCCCATTCTTCTTTCAAACTTCATCAAGCTTTTTGTCTAATTGTATAGAGAGCTTGTCTTCTTAATTTTTTAGGCCATGTATAGCTAACTTACACATCCATCCATCCATCCATCCATCCATCCATCCATCCATCCATCCATCCATCCATCCATCCATCCATCCATCCATCCATCCATCCATCCAGCCAGCCAGCCAGCCAGCCAGCCAGCCAGCCAGCCATTCAAGCAACAGGAATTAAGTTCTGGCAGATTTTAGGTGATTTCTTGGTTTTCTTTTGCTTTCCTCTAACCATGTTCTTTATGCGTTCAATGTTTATTTCATCTGCTGTCACACTTCATTTCATATCATGGATTAAATTATTCTGATTGGTTTGTATTTGTGGATAACTCTGGAAGTCAGCAACATCTGGTGTGATTTCTATATAAATGGAGGTATCACAAATACACTATATTGCCAAAAGTATTTGCTCACCTGCCTTGACTCACATATGAGCTTAAGTGACATCCCGTTCCTAATCCATAGGGTTCAATATGACGTCGGTCCACCCTTTGCAGCTAGAACAGCTTCAACTCTTCTGGGAAGGCTGTCCACAAGGTTTAGGAGTGGGTTTATGGGAATTTTTGACCATTCTTCCAGAAGCGCATTTGTGAGGTCGCACACTGATGTTGGACGAGAAGGCCTGGCTCTCAGTCTCCGCTCTAATTCATCCCAAAGGTGTTCTATCGGGTTGAGGTCAGGACTCTGTGCAGGCCAGGCAAGTTCATCCACACCAGACTCTGTCATCCATGTCTTTATGGACCTTGCTTTGTGCACTGGTGCACAGTCATGTTGGAAGAGGAAGGGGCCAGCTCCAAACTGTTCCCACAAAGTTGGGAGCATGGAATTGTCCAAAATGTCTTGGTATGCTGAAGCATTCAGAGTTCCTTTCACTGGAACTAAGGGGCCAAGCCCAGCTCCTGAAAAACAACCCCACACCATAATCCCCCCTCCACCAAACTTTACACTTGGCACAATGCAGTCAGACAAGTACCGTTCTCCTGGCAACCGCCAAACCCAGACCCGTCCATCAGATTGCCAGATGGAGAAGCGCGATTCGTCACTCCAGCGAACGCGTCTCCACTGCTCTAGAGTCCAGTGGCGGCGTGCTTTACACCACCGCATCCGACGCTTTGCATTGCACTTGGTAATGCATGGCTTGGATGCAGCTGCTCGACCATGGAAACCCATTCCATGAAGCTCTCTGCGCACTGTTCTTGAGCTAATCTGAAGGCCACATGAAGTTTGGAGGTCTGTAGTGATTGACTCTGCAGAAAGTTGGCGACCTCTTCGCACTATGCGCGTCAGCATCCGCTGACCCCGCTCCGTCAGTTTACGTGGCCTACCACTTCGTGGCTGAGTTGCTGTCGTTCCCAAACACTTCCATTTTCTTATAATACAGCTGACAGTTGACTGTGGAATATTTAGGAGCGAGGAAATTTCACGACTGGATTTGTTGCACAGGTGGCATCCTATCACAGTTCCACGCTGGAATTCACTGAGCTCCTGAGAGCGACCCATTCTTTCACAAATGTTTGTAAAAACAGTCTGCATGCCTAGGTGCTTGAATTTATACACCTGTGGCCATGGAAGTGATTGGAACACCTGATTCCAATAATTTGGATGGGTGAGCAAATACTTTTGGCAATATAGTGTATGTTCACTGAAAATAAAAATAAAATATGTCTTTGTACTTATTTCAGCTGCAGTAGGTGTTACTCATTATCCCAGAATACACTGCAAGACATTAAACTGTCTGACACCAAGTTTACAAACCTAACAGAAATTTGTTGTTGTTATGAATGAATGTATTCCTTAAGGCATTTTTATAAGTAATGAACTGAAAAACATTTAAAGCTAGTCAATGAATGGCAGGAACATATGGAAGCTTCATGGTTATTATCAGGTCTCAAATGATCCGATGCTCATTGAAATAAAGAGCTTAAACTGAAAAAGTTGCAACTCTTAAAGATGCTATGTTGACCCAGATAATAATAATAATGGAGGAGGACGACAGTTCATTCACTCCTGTATACGTTTAAAGGTCTGCTACAATCATTGTTGATGGTAGATGATAGTAGACATCTTATTAATCAATCAAATGGTGCCGCTAAGCTACTAATGCTAAGGCTGTTATTACATACATGTGTAGATTTGCTTGAATTTGTGTCCTCTGGTCTCTTGGGCGTCGGTTCAGAGAAGATACACCTGGGCACCTTCCTGTTCCTTACCAAAGCTGGCACAACACGCTCTCTGGCGACGCCAGCAGCTGCCTTAAAAAAGGCTGACAGCTTTTCTATTGCAGCTCCAATGCTGCAGGCGGCTTGACAAAATGAAAGTAAACACAGCAGAGAATAGTGTTTTATGCCGCAGAGACTCTTCCTTTACCATCTGTGTAGTGCTTGGAAAAAATTCAGCGCATTCGACTTTTAGATACATCCCTGCAGTAATGTCTGTAGGTAAATTTTTTCTTTATTATGAGGCAATTTATTCAAATTCATGGTAATATGGCAATTACTTTTAAGTCTGTATGATTTTTTTTTTAGGTTATTAGTAAGTGATAAAAATGAGTCTGTAAGTTGAAGGCATTTTTTAAAATGAAAAAGGAAATTACATATTATGGTAATGTTTTATCTTAAATGATAATAAAGCATTTTGTTGTATTTAAAAAATTGGAGTAGGCTTACTGTATATCTGATTCCCTTAAAGACATTTTTGAGCAATTGACACTTGCATCCAATGCCATTGATTTACAAAAAAAATTAACAGTTGCAGCTTCTCATAATAACTGCTAGTAAATGTACAAATGACTACTCATGGCCATAACAGAAAGAACACAGAAAGTTGAACAATTGGAGCATTTTAGACCAAATTATACTGGTATTTCTATGAGTTTTACTTAAAAAATGTTTAAGCACTTAATAAACTAAAGAAAATCCTAAGACATGTACTATACTATACTAACTAATAAGTACCCTGTAGGCTACTTTTTGTAATTTCTTTGTTTTTTGAAAACTGTCAGTACTAGATCAAGTGCTATCTGGAGTCTATAAATGAAACAACACAAAAGTGTTTTAAAATGTTAATATTTGATTTATAAATCAATGAAAATATCATAAGTCAAACAAAACAAATAAAAGGAGAAAGGATAATTTGCAAATGAAACTAAAAACAATAGAGAAGACTAAGTGAAAGTGTAACAACGGCAAAAATTCCCCTCGGTCTTCAGGGTGAAGTGTGTGTTTTTGTTTGAGTGGGATGTTTGAGAGATGGTCCTGGTGGAGCAAACACGCTCAACCAACCGAGTCAACGCTCACATTGCTCTCTCTTCTCTATTCTCTCTTCCTTGCCTCAGCTTTCAAAGGCCAAAGATTGTCTCCCTCAAGGGAGATACAGGGGAAAATAACACTGTTCAGCGTTCTTTTCCACAACTGACATTTTTCAAATAGAATTTGATATTCCTCCTTTTAAAAATTAACAAGAAACATTTTATTGGCCCATCAGTTGTTTATTTTTTAACAGCACAACCTCAATCTTAAATATATTTGCTTAGAATAGTTTAGCTATGTGGCAATGACTAAAAAAGTTAAATATGTGAACTACCTAACATACCACTTGTGCCTTGATGCATGATGGCGGCAGCATCATGTTGTGGGGGTTATTTTCTTCACTAGGGAAAGATAAGTTGTTGAATGGGAACAAATAAGAAGCTTCAGACATGAGAATTCTTGAATAAAACCTGTAAAGAGTTAGAGGTTTACCTTTCTGCTCAATAAAGAACCTAAACATAAAGCCAGACCTTGTGCTGTTATGTGTTTGCTTCTCATGCATAATACTCAAAATAAAAAATGTTTTTTTGAGTGAATAGATGTAGGACCATTTATTTTGTATAGCAAAGGTTTGCAAAGTGCTGTAATGTAATATAAACTTAAGTTGACAACAATTTTTTGAAAATACATTTTCTATCTAATCTGCATTCATTTTACCTTACTCTAGGAACTACAGAGGTCAATGCTACAGGAAAATCCTTCACAGTAAGAAGCAGCCTCTTGTTTCAAGTGGACAAACGGGATGATGGAGTCGCATACACCTGCAGTGTGGAACATGTGTCTCTGTACAAACCGTACATGACAACTGAGGTCCTGGAGGTTCATTGTAAGTTTTATCACTGATAAAGAATGATTAGGTCTGGCCATTGAAAAGGAATACAAACAAACTAATAAAGGAGCTTAAATTTATGTCTGCATGCGTAGCCCTGCATTTGTTATAGATTAGTATAGGATTAGTTTGCAGGTAAGGGGTTACTTCAAAAGTACAACAAATGTACATGAATACATACTAGAGCGTAAAGGTATAGAGGACGATCTTTTATTTCTGGGTCGATCATCTAAATAAGTGGTCCTCTTAATTGTCAATCTTCTGGTGATATGTAAGGCATTCCTACGTGCTCGCCCGTTGGCTATATTTTTCCTGTGCATGCGCACTTTCAGGTGTAAATCTGTGCTGAGCTATGCTTTCAGACAGTCATTGAAGCTCATCTTTGTTACCACGGTTCTTTGACAATGGTCGAGGTTCATAACAGAAAAAGTGTCTACGAAGTGTATGAAAAGAAAAGAAAGGTCTCAGAAGAGGTAGATATATCCCAGAATGCTTTGTGCAGAGAGCTCTCCTCACAAAGCAGTATGGGATTTGCTGTCACAGCGATACGCTGTCGCCATACGCTGTCTCAGCCTCAGAGCAGCGACAAAGAGGGCGCAGGCACCGCGCAGTGGGGGAGGAGTTACGTGACCAAAAGAGCTAACGGATTAGTGTCCGAACCGTAAGGTTACTGAGTTCACTATTAGGTCCACTATAGACTCCCCGCTCTATATAGTGACTGAGGGATTTAGGGGTTATGGCGGACTTTCAAGCTCAGTAAGCTTGTATGAGCTTTGAGAACTGCAGAGAACTTTTAAACAGAGCTTGCACAAGAAGAAATTGGCTAATGCATGCTCTCGCAGGCATGGAGAAGGCAGGTCTTTTAAAATAATTTACGAAAATCCTCCACGATACCTTTAAGCTTCCTATAGGTTAAAGAGCTAACTACCTTTGCATTATTTTTGGTGTTAATTTCTTGCACACATAGGTGTTACAATACTGCTTTTATTAATTTATAAATTTTTTGCAGATGCTCCACAACTGGAAATCACACATTCACTGATAATTCCACAGGAAGGGACAATACTTCAAACTGGAGTGTGTTTCCATAGGCAACCCAATGTAAGTTGGATTCACGACTGCACTTTGATCTATTCCAAAATAACTTTGAAAAGTAAGAAAAAATAACACGATTTTCTTGTGTTTTCTTTCCCAGACCCGAACCAGTTCTCTGGTCTAAAGATGGAGGAGAGCTGCCAGACATTGAGCGTATGATTGTGGAGGGCAGAGAGCTCACCATCACGACACTCAACAAAACAGACAATGGCACATATCGCTGTGAGGCCAGCAACCATATGGGGACCAGCTTTGCTGAGTATATTCTGTTTGTATATGGTGGGTACTAAACTGAATTCTTTATGTCTATGATTAAAAAGTCATGTTTTTTAGTGCTTAATTGATTTATACTGTATCAGGGGTTATTTATCGGAGAAGTCAAGAGTCATATATCTTCAACTAGCACATGGAAAGTAGAAATAAAAAAAAAAGCTGATTATTGGTAAGCATTTTTTTTCTTTTATGGCAAAAGTGTTTTAGGCGATGTAGGCAACAAATTTCAGAATCTCATAGAAGATGTTTGACGGTCAATGTAGGGAATTTAACAAAACAATTATTTTGTGAAATTGAAATTCAAACTAAGCTGTGTTTAAGCAGCAATAATCAGGTTTTCTGTATTTCATCAATGAATCAGGCATTGTTATATGTCATTTCACTTTTATCATGTAGTCATGTATCAAAATGATTGACACTAATGTGCTACTTTTTCCATCTGACATGTTATATTTGAACTACACCTTTTAAAATAGCAATTAGATTCTGACGTGTTGTGAGTTTTCTCTCTTGCTTCTTTGTCATGCTTAGGTGTTTCAGGTCATCAAACATAATGATGCTCAAGGAAATACAAACATTTAAATGATTACATTATTTGATAATACGACTGATGCAATACAGTAGGATGCACCGTTAATGAAGTTGGAGCTTTTTTTTTTTTTTTACAGGGATCAGTGGATTTAACCTTCGACTGCTGACATGTTTGCTGTCTTTCACCAGTCTATTTCTTGTTGTAGAATTATTAACACTTGTTTTACCAAGGAGAGTCAGGCCAGCAATGTTTACATATTGCTCAAAGTCCTTTTTTTGATCTTTTGGAGGAGTGCACTCTTAGGGCCTGATCTCAAAGATATCAAATCAGTGGCACTAATTGGGTGTGTTGCAGAATTTCTACAAATATTGCTGCGTAAATGTTCGTAAATGAGAATGGCTGTCAAAGAAAGATGTGGTTTAAAGCCTAGAATATGGAGGAAATACTAATAACTATTAAAAGAATAATAAATAATATTTACTTTGCACCTCATAGTATCGCTCCATTGATATCCTGTTTTTATAAATATGCACCAACATCTAGTTTCAGTATTTTTCGTTAAATCTGGTTTAGTAGTACAAAAATTTCTGCTAGTTAATAATTTTTGCTGCCCTACATAGATGTAATTTTCTTTATTGGTAATATTCTATTGTTGTTATTATTCACGATCCAAATGCATTTATATGCACACGGAATATCTCCCCGTATGCATTTCTTCCTTTGCAGTTGTCACCTCACTTTCAGAATTACGAAAAAAAATGTTAAAAAAAATAAATAAATAAATTACCAATGTGAGTTTCAGATTTGGAAATTCAATTTGCTTGTGGTAAATTTTTACATTTTATTGCATGGTCTGGTGCCTTCATGCCATTTTATGACATGTAAACGTTCTAAAGATCAGGCCCTTAGAGTCTTTCTCACGATTAAGTGGCTTTTGGGAAGTTTTACCACTGTTCCTTATTTTCTCCGTCTATGGTTAATATAGCCCCATGCACTACCCTTTGAAACCGTGCCGAGAATGGTAACCAAGGTAACCGCTAAGTGTAAATGGAGAGCAGCTGAACTGGACTGTGCCAGGCAAACGAACTGCAATAAATCCAGTACTAGTTCAGCAGTAGGCTTGGCGCGGTTCAGTTGTGGCTCGGATCTCTGATAACTAAGAGTGCATGAGCAGACGGCGTCATCTCCTATTTACAGCCAGCTGACTCATTTTGCGGGTTTTCTGGCGCGTCCGGCTTTACATATCACAGATCTCTTCACCTGTTCACAACACAAACTTCTTCTCAGCCTATTAACAATAAATGGCATCCATTAATGGGATGATGCCTAGAGCGAGGCTCTCATCGAAACCTGGCTGGAATACACTATCCAGGCAGATAACTTCCTGAATGTTATGGTCGACTCCATTTTTGTTTGCGTAATTCCCACATTGAGAGCTGTAGTGTCGTGGACCACTGAGGAGGTGAGGAACCGTGCTAGCCAGATGTGTAAACGGTCTAAGAACCAAGCTCAGCACGGTTAACTGATTCAAGCTGGGTCCAAAATCGGCAAGAATTTCAAAGGAGTAGTGCAAATGGCGCATATTTTTCAATTTCAATTTCAATTTATCTTTATTGTCATTGTCACAAGAACAACGAAATTTGGATCCATGCAACGAATATGTGGATCCATGCAGTCACTGAGCATAACCCTCTTTTAAATAGGTGTCAGCATTGTCTTATCTCACACTAGGGCATAATGTGTGGGTTCCTTTTTTTTTATTTCTTTTTTTGTTTTGTTTTATAAGCATACTTAATTTTATCAGACTTAAATATAGAAACTTTCTTGACTACACAATTATGTTAAATTAATTCATAAATTTTCAAGGAATTGTTTTGTTAGATATTAAAATTAGATTAATACTTTAAAATATTAGTTTGTGACTCGACTAAAGCAAAAGAAAAAACGAGGGGAAAACATTTTTTTCTTCATTATTTCTAAATTATGTGTCACTATAAAATAAAGAAAAATAAAGCTTTTTGCTTGACATATATGAACGAGCAGATTAATGCACCAAGAAAATATAAACTACTAGAGCCCATTAAGTAGAATATAAAGAAAAGAAAATGTACAGTATTTACTCTGATCTTTTTTAGTACAATGCTGGAAAAGAAAACAGATCTGTTTTATCAACAAAACAACTCGCACAGGCTCGAATTTAGTGTGCAAGTCATGCACACTAAAATGGGCTGTGATTGGTAAAAAATTGGCTGCACAAAACCCAGCCTAACGGCTCACTGGAGGTGTATTTAACAAAATCACAGAGAATGAAAGGAGCAGGTAGGCTATCAGGAGCTGAATACGATCAGGGATACTGCTAATCATCCCTAACATTTTGGTGATCTTCAAATTGGTATGATCCAGCAGGTTTTAGAGGAAACTACAACCTGATTAATTGCTATTATTAGAGCAAGGGATCCAGGTATTTTGTCACTATCAGGATAGAATAAAATGGGATTTTTGTTGTCATGTAGAAAATCCGCTTGTTATAATGTATCTAGGTCTATTTCAGTCTTGCACATTTCCAAAGCTTGCATTCAAGTATCGACTGGCTAATATGGGACTGATGAATTTCAATATTAGTGGATAAGGATGTACGATTTAGTTTAATTTCAGCCTAGAAAATTGCATTATCACATGACAAATAACGGGTTGATTAAAAACCAAACACTTTGTTACAGGAAAAGAAATAATACATATTTAGCATCCCATGTTTATGTATAAAAGTATATGAAATAATTTGAAATAAGTAGAACTGGACTGAATACATATAGGGTCGTTTTAGTTTTCATTGTCCTTGATCTTTGTCTTCAGTTTTTGCCAGTTTAATAGTGCAGTAGCAGAGTGAAAAGCCATAAAAGAGCTTACTTCTCTTCATTGGAGTTTTTTCCTTCTTATAAACTATTACTTGATGCATGGCAGCATCTTTGCAAGGTTTAGAAAGGCTTTAGGAAGTAAAAAGAAGGGACATTTTTTTTTCTTTCAGACATTGCTATCTTTGTGTCCTCCTTCAGCATACTTATTGAATGAGAGAACAGCAAAGTCTTGTTGGTATGTTGCATATATCCTCCTATATCTGGCTACCTTTTAATTATTTATTTGATCACATTCCAAAGCTCAGTTGTAGCTTTAGAATTTGTATTATTATAATTTGTATAATTTATTTATAATTTGTATTATTATAAATCTAAACCTTAATGAGGGTTTTATATGAATTGATTTTTTTAAGTCTGCATAATCAGGAAGAAGGATGTATTTACCTCACGAGCCCTCGCCTGCAGTTGCAAGAGGAGATGAAAAATTGAGTTAAGCAAGTAAAAGATGTGTTAGACAGGCTCATTTCCAATGATGATGAGACTCATTCTTCAGGGCTACATTGTGATGAGCTGAATACTTGCCAGGTCTTTTCGGATCATCTCAGCCTCTAAACCTAATTTGCTAATGACAGGGAAGCGGAGGAGCTATAAATGTCATCCACCAAGCACAATTTATCACTGTTTGAAAATACCGTCTATATTAAACCTTCTGAAATACAAATAAGAAACATTGCATACAAGATATTTGAGTTGTAGTAACAAAAAAATAGCTTTCCTCAATATAGATGGAGGCCCTAAGAGGCTTAAGTCTAATTTCTTAGCCTTAGCTTCACAGTGTTCAGTCTTTAAATCTACAATTTCGCTCTAGTAAGCATGAAAATTGACATCTAAAAATTTAACTGATGTAAAAATATATATTTTAAGCAATATTCAGCATTTTCCTTTTTAGACTTGTTGTCCTTATTGTTGTCTGATATTAACATTTATTTACTCACAAATATTTATTTTGTGACTTTTACAATAAAAATATATCTGTAGACGTGCTTACCTTTGAAATTTACTCCAATAGATTTAGCTCTATTCTGATTTTTATATCTATCTCACTATTTTTTGTTTTTATTTATTTATTTTTTTTTAGTGCAGGATTTCAAAATCAGATCACTGCATTCACAACCGCATTAACAGGTCCACTTACAGTACACCCTCACAGAGGCCTCGACTCAACACTTCATGCACTCAAAAACATGTTATTGAGCACCCACTTGATGATTGATGAGCTAACAACTAAGCTATGAGCTAGAAAATAAACTTGTTTCAGTGGATAAATTCAATGTGCTCTCCTTTTTATTTTCCCTTTTTATACACAAAACTGATTCATTATACTGTTCCAGATTAGTTCAGAATTTACAGGTGCACCTTATCACATTATTTATTTAATATTTGCAAATGACTGCACAAATATAAATGTGTTTGCAGATGTGGAAAATAGCAAACAAACTCTTTGGAGTGTTCTTAAACAGGTTTGCAACAAATAACTAAGCATGCACTCATAAAATCCATGTGCAGGCTTTGGTTTATAAATCCAATTGTTACCAGTACCGTCGAGTTTATGTATTACT